CTTCAGCACCATATACGTGAAGTGGATGACTTAACGGTTTGTAAGTACTTAAGTTCAGCACGTTTCAACAGGATGTTCATTACTATTCCTGTGTGTTATTAATCTCCACTTTAGTAAAAGTTATTGTTGGCGATCAGTGAAAAGTGTAATTATAGGTAAACAGAAGTTATAAATGTGTAATCTGACAGCAGTTCGTGACTATTTCATCGACCAAGTTCATGAACGGATTTTTCTTATTCAACTGTATCCTATTTAAATTAAGGTTTTAGCTTTGATATAGCAAAGTCAAGCATGATATGGGTAACCTTACATCATCTACTTCCGTTTCTCGTTCTACGTAGCTCTACATTGGTTTGGAGACGGTTTTCTTCAGAGCGAATTGGGAAGATTTCTTTATCAGATATAGCTTCAGCATATGATTTAACTTTCTGCGAATGTGTGTTGTTAGACTTTGCCATGGGGATCAACTTTTAGTATATGAAGTGATTTCAACATTTTAAAATGGGGTTTACTCTTTTCACCACTGTTATGTATTAATTGACATTTTTTGTGGACTTATGTATACCTGTATTCTCTGATGTATGAATATAACTATTCCTATAATCTCAGTGTTTTCAGTTGAGTAGCAGCGAAAAGAAATCTAGCAGTAATAAAGTGTTGTTGGCAGACAAACAATATCCGTGATTAGGGTGACATTACCAATCTCTGCGATTTTTTATCAATAAATTAAGAAAATATAAAATCTTGTTAAGAAGACCGTGCATAATATCCAGGGGAAAGTACACAGTTTGTTTCTGATTTATTTTATCTTCAAAAGCAGGGCCTACTACCATCCTACTTAATTGCTATCATACGTTCCTACCTTTCTGGGTGGAAAGTAAAGCTTCAGCAACACATCTCCGTTGTATGCTGTTCTTTGCCATCCTTTTCCCCAGCTCCATCACTTCCTACAAGCCCTCATTGCCTCACGATAGTCTGCCTTATCACCCTCAGACGCACGAATTGTCATTTTCCTTTCAGTACTTCCACCGGAGGATCTGACATGTGGTGTCACCTAAAGTTCTCTCCAGTGCATATCCATTCCATCATGTCTCTCCGCATAATAGTTGCACAAGTTTGCTAACAGTTGTTCGACTACTATCCTTTTCAACCATCTAGTCTTCGTAATGCAGTAAAAGCAGCTGGTGTTGAAAGTCTGCAGTAGCCTATTTCAAATGCTTTTGCTGACTCATGAACCAAGCCATGACTGATTTCACATTAGTTTTCAAAATCTTGACTTAACTTCTTATGCTGAATGCAGTAGATTTCCACACAGGTTAGTGTGGCGACTTGAACTTCCGCACATTTGTGCAAAGTTCTATGTCGAAAACAGACAGACAGGTTACAGAGTAACGGACGTTTTTGCTTTTCCCATCCTGTTGTTGACGTTCCAACCTGTACTGCTTGGTAGGCAGGAAAGACGACATACTTTAGGATTCCCTCACTGGTGGTGATTTGGTGCTCATTGTTATTGTGGCATCTTTAATACCTCAGTCTTCTCTATGTTCACGTGACGTTCTTTCTTCTCTATCTCTTCTGCCAACTTGTTGACTTTCGCTTGTATATCTTCGAGTATTTGCAGCATGCAACTTGAGTCATCTGCGACATCTAGGTCTTCTAGCGTCTCTGTCAGTCTAGCCTCTGTCTGTCTTCTCACTCCCCATGTTTTGTCTCATGATCCAGTTTACTAAAGTTACCGAGATGATCTTCGATAGTAGTCAACCTTGTCTTCAGTGAGCTTTCCGTTGTGAATTACTTGGCATCGTCATACAGCTGCTGAATGAGGGTTACAAAGATTTGTAGCACTTTGTGGTGTTAAAATAAATGCTAACTTACTCCATTGTCTGTTGTCTCTGTATTTCCGTATGAATTGATTTGACCGGTGGAAATGATGAAATTTTTCTGGTATTTCCGCCTAAGCAAATTGTTTTCTTGTATGCCCGTTATCCCATCAAAATTTTCTGCTTCTAATCTCTTCTCTACTAAAGAACATCAACTTCGATGCTAAACTATAAATGACCGCAAAAAGTAAGCATTTTGTAATGTTATGTGTTATGAATTCGGCATCCTAATTCGAAATTATTGTCCAGCTTGAAATCTTTCTGAATCGACGACCGCTGTTGCATGTTACTGTGATTGAATGACACGAAAATGTAGGCACCTTTCGCCGTGAGATAATGGTCTTCTGAGTTACGTTTGTATATTAACTATGCACTTCCCCTAAATTGTAGTCATAAATAGTGCGAATGAATCCGAACTGAAAATCTCATACGTTGTATTTTTCTAAGTCCTCTTTGCGTTTAATAAATATTTATACTTACAAGTTCAGTTCATATTCTTGGTAACTCTTGCAAGCAAGACCATTTCTAAAAAACTTATGAAAAGGAAAAATGCAGCTTCTATCAGGAAGGCACTTAATTAACTTAAGTGACCACCATTCTAACACATTATTTACCGAAATTGCATATTTCGAATGTACTTCCATCCATTGAAGGACTTATTTACTAACTATAAGATATGCTGCGTGCTTAGGAATTATATATTTCCTGCGTTAATGTTAGCAAACTCGTCATCGTATCGTTTTGTTTCACTGGTAATGACGTTGATTATCTTTGAAAATGTTGGCTGTTATGGTGTGATATCGAGGTAACAGAGCAGCCATGACTTATACTGTGGAATTCATTCAACATACCCAAGTTTACCTGATTTTTATCCCAACAAATACGTGGACTCAAGCCCTATCGAATGGGCTGTCAACCCTCGATTACGTAAGATTATTCGCTATTTTTCACACCTTGTTATTTCTCGTACACTTTGATTCATTTTGTTATTAAATGACAGTAACCTCTGACCTTTGTGCATGTAACCCACTTAAATGCACAACTTCGAAGTGAGATTACGGATAAAGATCTTTTTGCTAACTTCTGTGTCGCACAAATGTTGATCTCAGAAATTGAAGGGTGATGACTTGAGTGGAATTAAAGGCTTTTTCATTCCAGTTACTTGCTCTTATCCGTTTACTCCATAAAACCACATGGTTTCTAAGTATTTCAGTATTATGTATAGCTTCGTAGTAGCAACCAATCCCCCCAATTTTACCGTCTAACTAAAATAAATCGATCGCCACTAGGTTCAACAGGTTTTGCCACTATGCTACAAATTGTATGATTTTTCACTATCCTAAGATGTGATAGTATACGAGGAGCTACGTGTATCTTCATGTTTCTAAAGCAATTTGATAATCTGTCATCTTAATGGTGTGACTAACCAGAGCTGATAAGGTGATCTGTTGAAGTATAATCATCACTTTCTGTTTTAGAGAGATTCATTGTCTACCAATCAGGATAACTTAACCGGAGACGATGACATTATTCCGAAGGTAGTCATTGTGAACAGATTACAATCAAAATAAGGTCTATTTTGGTTTGTCTATCCGTATTTGGTGGACTGAATTACGCGTCAGACTATGCGTTGGGAGTGAGAAGACAGGAATACATCGACCGATAAGAAGACTCTAGAAGATCTGGGTTTCGCGCGTCGGTGGTTTATGTTTAATGTCACTCACACAAACTCGAAGACATGCAGGCGAAAACTGACATAGTGGAAGAAAAGGCAGGTAGCCAAGAAAGGACTGCAGGTGAACTTAGAGAAGACGGAGGTGATGAAGACAACCAACCAACAGCACCAATCAATATCAACGAGAGTGATTTACCAGAGGTTACCTCCTCCCTTCACTTATCCGCGAAGCATTGTTTCAGCCACAGGCAGTCGGAACGGGCGAAGACCAGCCAGAATCAGAAAGGCAGGATATACGCCTTCATCAATCTGAAGTCGATTTGCAAATCTTCTGTACCCACCACCATAAACATCAACATTCGAGTCTCCAACATCAGTGTCATGTTACCTCTTGGCCATCTAGGTTTGAATGATTCTCAATTTTTGTGGAAATTTCCTAATTTTAGTTGATATTCTACGTCCTATTATATCTTTATTACTATTATAATTTAAGTATTTTTAGTGAATTGCAATTCCATTGATCATACTTTACAAATCGATATTATTTAAAAAACACCAATATTGTTATTAACTACCAACCTTGAATATTCTGTGTATATAAACACGCATATGTAATTGTAGAGCCAGAAGAGGAATTTATCGAAAAGAATATTCTTTGCTCGATTATTTTGTGTTTTATAGATATCTGAACGAATATTTTTGCTATATTGAAATCTTCTAGATAGGTCGGAAACTGGTACTGCGTGTCACAAAAGGCATTCCCAACAGCCAGTTGCCCACTTTTATCAACAGCTGCCTCCTCTAGCTGGCTGCATACTGAAGCTCAAATGGCCAGCCGGCCAGAAAAAATCAGCAATAAGAGACTGTGGGGACAAACTAACCAAGAACCTTTTCTTCAACAAATATGTAGGAGAAAATGGAGATGGATAGGGCACACACTTGAGGGGACCATCGGGTGACATCGTGCCCAATACAGGCCCATTGCTCCAGTGGAAGCAGAATGGAAGCGACGAATGGGTCGTCAGTGCGAGGTTGACATGGAGGACATCGTACAGGTATAGGAGATAAGAGATTATGAGCACTTGTGGGCCTAGCTAAAGAGGACAACAGAAAATAGAACAAAGTGGAGATGTGTTGTTTAAGCCCTATGTTACATTCGGAACACAAGGGATCAATAATGATAATAATAAAAATAAATCGGCATTTGAAATTAAGTAAGATTAACTTTGTTGAGATCTATTTGTTTCTTATTTAAAAAGAAAGTATACATACAAAATAAAACAGAATTAAAAGACAGTAGTATTGGGAGGAGGGGAATTGAGCAGATAGTTTTGTGATATTACATAGAAGAAAGTGAGCATTGCATTCAGAGTAAATGAGTAGAAGATAAAGAAGACAACTGTACAGTATTTTTTTTTCTTCTAATAATAAAGTCATATTACTTTTTACATCTTTTTAATTTGTTTTTTAATTAAGGCTAAACGTTGTCTATGAGCTTCAGTGGTTAAATTTTTACGTACAGGCCGATGATCATCAGACACAAAACCTGGTACAATAATGTTCCATTCACGTTCTATATTTGACAAAAAGAGAAAAAACAAACAAAAGAGTTGTTCTATGTAAATAAATCGTCTTAGTTAAATGATGTATAACTGTTTTATACTCCATAGAATTGAAATAATTCCACAAATGTTTGTTTATATTTATTATATAAATATCAAAGTGGCTATATCTCTATTACAACAAAATGGTTCTGTTAATCATCCTTCAAAATAGCTTCTCTGGAAGTCGATACACTAAAGATAAAATCTTATACAGGTATCAGTACTTAACTACCGCACATTTCTTTTGTAGTGTAATATAGATGCTGCGAATCCTAGTAGTGGAATAAAATAATCAGAAAACAGCAAATGGACAGAGTAGTTCATTATTGAATGCCTCGCCTCATACGGATAGATGTGAATATGTAAAGTGAATGCTATTAAATTATTTCATTTTAACTTTTCACTCGAAGTCCGTAATGACTACTACACAGTGTTATTTACACCTGACGAAATAAAGTTCAATATTAGTGCTTAATGTTTGTTCACAGTATTCAGGAGACTGTTTTGTCAATGTCTTTTTTTTCATCCGGATCATAGGCTGCATATTATAAATTAGTAAGCAGCTGAGATGTTATCATCATCCCATTTGCACAGAAAATAGCAATTATTTTTTGTTTAGTTCCTAGAAGAACATAAGGCTTCAGCCACACGTCTCCATTGCATTCAGTTCTCCGCCAACGTTCTCGCCTGGCTCCATGTCTGCCCACATGCTTGCATCTCTTCTTCACATGACCTTCTCCATGTCACTCCACCCTCCCACTGACGACCAACTCGCCACTTCCAATCCGGGTTAAACTCGAGCAATGGCCTGGTATGTGTGTCACTCACTTGATGGTTTCGTCAGAGTATGACCTATCCACCTCCATTTCCTCCTGCCTATTTGTTGCACAATCGGTTGCTGCTGGTTGGTTCGCGCCCAGAGATCCTTGATCTTGAGTATTGAGTGAAGACAGCTGTTGATGAAGCTCTGTAGTTTGTTCGAAGTGCCCTTCACCACGCGCCAAGTTTCTGATCCACATAGTAGCACACTGACTTCACATTAGAATTGGAAATCCAGATCTTATTTTTCATGCTGAGTAGCGCTGTTGACCTCACATAGACTTGAGAGTAATGAAAGCTTGTCTTGCTTTCTCGATCCTCGCTTTGATATCCTCATCAGTTTCGTCCGCCTGTAGTTGAAACGATGCTTCTCAGGAGGGTAGGTAAAGGAGGTTACTTCTCAAATTCCTCCCATTTATTCTGTTTTTTTGTCTGTTGTTGTTGCTGTTGGCCAGGAATTTTCGTCACCTTTGTTTTTTCTATATTCACCTGAAGTCCCATCTTTGATGCTTCTTCCGCCAACTTGCTGCTTTTCATTTGCATATCTTCCAGTTTGTAGGAAGTCCAGATCCTCCAAGTTTTTTCGTGTGGGTCGATTTTATGGCTGTTTCCTCGTTGACCACCCTGCTGTCTGTCGCATTAGCCAGTGTACCGCAATCAGGAAAATCATTGGAGATGGTAGACAACCAGCTTGTCTTACTCCCGTCTTTTCTTCGAAGGATTACATGAGTTTCCCATTGTGGATTACTTGGCATGCAGCACTGTCGTAAAACTGTTGGAAGAGATGTAAGAGAATGGCAATTATCTATGCCTATCTAACAACACCATTGTTTATTATCTATAAGTAATTACATATTTATGTTTATGTGAGAATCCCTATCCAGCCAGTGTAGAACTTTGCGATGTGAACGTGCATCTGTTCAATTCACCATATCGAGAAAAGGTGAGTAAAATAAGACCAGAGATGTTAAATGATGCAGAAAATAATTAAATGAATAATGTCCAGAATATGAATGATGATAATGGGTGCATAACATCGGCGCTGTTGAGAACAAATCTCAAAATATTAGTTCTGAGTATCCCGTGAACCTTAATTAAGCTGCAAGAAAGCTACACGACAGCATGGTTCATATTAATAATCAATAATTTCATGAATTAGTGGCATGCTTCGATCCAATCACCCCCCTAACATTGGTGCTTATCAAGAATGGTGATGGTTTCAGATGTATAGCGCATATCCTAGCCAACTCCACCAGTGGAATGGGGAGGGGGTGAACAAACTCATTGATTCATGTTCCTTGTTCAGCTAACTCCATTTGTATTTAAAATACTTTCCCATATAATACAAGTGAATGAGCGAAAACACCCGACCTACTGTACCCCGCTGGTCGTCACAGCTTCTCACTAGAACCCAACTAACTAGTGAGCATCAGAATGATATTCAAGTGGTTCCTCCAACCGATGTCAGCTCACGGTGAGACCTTGTAATCAATTAAATCCCCACAAACCAACACATGAAAACGAGTGTTGTCTCGTTTTTAGTGACGTTTCACCATTTAATGCATACAGCTTTATCAAATTACATATGAAGTCGGAGGTGTTTATAGAATGTCAGTTCTTCTATGACGGTGCAATGAAGGTTCTTCTCTATAAGATGATGGTGCGTTATCTCAGGCGAACAAATTGACTAGAAGAAAGTTACACTCACAAGTCTTTCTCACCCCCATTTATTTGACGTGTGTTGTCCCTACTCTCGATGATGCGTCTTTCTTAATTTTAGTCAGCCCCCTGCCTCCCGCCACTTCTCATGATGATTACAAAGACTTCCAGTCACCTTACATTCAGGCTAATTTCACTTGTCATCATCATTCATCAAGTCAGAAAGAGTGAATATTCTTGCATCAGTCAACTAAAATGACGTTGTAGGGTGTACTAGACATTTGCCAACTTTTGATGACAGGCCCGTTTAGCATACATCTTGACTCACTTAATTGTATCTCGTAAGCAGTTGGTTATGTTAATACAAGTTAGTATGATTCCTATATTTTACACCACATAATGATATTATATACACGTTGAACAAAATTATGTGCAGTTTAGTTAATTTCGATACAAGCTGATACCGTTGAAAAGTGCTAAAAAAACCAAGGGGTACTACTGCTGTTCTTTTATAGTTTACGGCTCTTGAGAAGCGAACAACCACTACTGGTTATTTAAGTCCCACAACGCATAGGCCAAAAGAAGTTCTCAACGGGTTTCATTTCTCCGCGAAACTCTAGGTGTACGCTTGAATACTACCAGAGTAAGACAACACAGTAATATAGTGTTCTTTAGTTTTTAAAGCTTTTCTTCCCTAGCTGATAACAGTTCATGATATACAACACAAAAAGTAACGATAGAGATAACTTACCCATACAAAATACAATATCTTTTCCCTCAACACTTGATGAACCTCTATGCGAAGCAATTTTCTGAGCTTTTTCTGCACAGCTGGCTATAAATTCATTAGCTAAATTTGTCATAACCTACACACACACAATAGAAATGTAAATATACGTATTGACATATTGTGAGTAAGCCTAAGTTATACACAACATGAAAGAATCATTAAATTATCAGCCGATAGATAGACAGACTGCAATTGAAATAAATCTCTCACAAATTGTATAATATGATCTTTTCTTTTAAAGTGTTACAATAATTACACTATTGACAAGAGTTAATACAAATTCCGATCACCTGAAAGAATGCCTAGATACTAGATCAATCTGTAATAAGTGATTATTTGACTTTCGTGCCTTTGTATTACATTATTTGATTTACAGAACTAGAAGCAATGTGCTCTAACGAATACCTTAATCAAGAACTCAATATAATTAGATTATTACTCAGTGAAAATGGTTGTCCAAAGAAGTTTATTAACAAGAATATGAATTTAAAACAAACCAAGGAAAACGACTCTATCACAAGTTATGCAGAAGACTAAAGTCCCTTGATGATAACATCAGTGAAATAATAACAGAATGCAGTAAAAAAAAGAGTATTCAGTGCAACGAAAGCTCATTTTCTCATCACATCTACTCCAATTTTTAGTCCAAGAGTTAAGGATAAGTTGTCTGCCTGCTTTCAACATAGATCTTTGCACCAATGTGCAACAGTTCGAGTCGCCACACTCCATGTAGCACACAAAGCAAGAGAAGAAAGTAGAAGAAATGCATAATAGAGAAAGTAGACAGGGATATGAGACAAAAAGAATAGTAATATCGAGGAACAATATAGTTTCATTGGGTATTATAAGTCACACGGAGTGGATGCATCTGCACCAACCATTGAAAATAATTTTGAACCATATCACCGATTGTCACTAGCCATTGGTTTTTACCATCCCGAGGACTCCAACCAGGAAGTCTACACCTTCTTACGTGACTTAACTGTTGTGGATTTCATTGACTGGTGCGATGTTTTCGTTTGACCGCCGCTAGCTCTTTTCCAACCTGACACTATGTCATCTAACATTGCCCATTGTCAAGGAAGGCGATCGATGACTAGTCATGCGTGAGTAACACATGTCCTAACCATCTCAGTCGATGTAGCTTTACAGCCTCGTCGATTGATTTCCCCTCCCACCTACCTCGCACTCACTCGACCGATACCTAACCTCAATATTGCTCACCATATTACACCATTTTACACGGGAGATAGAACACAGGCACCTAAGATCAAAGACAGCTAGCCAGGTTTTCCATGTCTTCCACTCTCAATGGCCATGTCTCACAGCCAGCCATAAAGGAGGACGGAGCAGACTGCTGAGCAGTACACCCGCCATTTAGTTGATAGCCAGATATCACGTCTACGCCAGAGACGGCGTAAACTGGTATATGCGAGATTAGCCTCTACATCCGTGCTGAGATTTCGTCAGCGACCAACTCGCTGGCGATGATGCAACTTCCCAAATAAGTGAAGCAGTCAACGTGCTCTACAACTTCACTCCCTTTTTCTAAGCTAGGAGTCAGTGTAGTCCAGTCCTGTAACATCATCTTACATTTGGTGGGAGCGAGTCACATGCCAAACATTCGTCGATTGCACCTCACGGAAGATAAATTGCCTAATTTCGCTTCTTCTCTATATATCTATCAATTTTATTGCTCCTATAAATTCAGTTAGATTGAGAGTACCATTGGACATGTCCATAGGTGGATTTCTGAAAACCATCCTATGTGTTTTATAAGCTCTATTTTAGCTCATCTTGTAGATACTGAAAACAAACAAAATCAACGTTGGGAGTGAGAAGACAGGAATACGCTGCACTGACTCCAGGAGATCTGGATTTCGCGCGTCGGTGATTTATGTTTAATGTCACTCACACAAACTCGAAGAAATACAGGCGAAAACTGACATACTGGAAGAAGAGGCAGGCAGCCAACACAGGACTGCAGGTCAACATAGAAAAGACAGAGGTAGTAAAGACAACCAACCAACAGCAACAATAAACAGCACCAATCAATATCAACGGGAGGAACTTGAAGGAGGTCACTTCCTTCCTACACTTATCCGCGAAGCATTGTTTCAACCACAGGAAGTCGGAGCAGACGAAGATGTCAAAATCAGCCAGAATCGGAAAGGCGGGATACACATTTCCATCAATCTGAAATCGATTTGCAAATCCCCTACACTCACCACCATAAACATTAACATTCGGGTCTGCGACACTAGTGTCAATTCACTTCTTCTAGATGGGAAAGAAACTGGAACTGCGTGTCACAAAAAGCATTCCCAACAGCCAGTTGCCCACTTTTATCAACAGCTGCCTTCGCTGGCCGGCTGCATACTGAAGCTCAAATGGCCAGCCGGCCAGAAAGAATCAGCAATAGGAGACTGTGGGGACAAACTAACCAAGAACCTTTTCTTCAACAAATATGTAGGAGAAAATGGAGATGGATAGGGCACACACTTGAGGGGACCATCGGGTGACATCGCGCCCAATACAGGCCCATTGCTTGAGTGGAAGCAGAATGGGAAGTGACGAGTGGGTCGTCAGTGCGAGGTTGACATGGAGGACATCGTACAGGTATAGGAGATAAGCCCGACCGAAAGCTGCTACCTTGACGTGGTGGTCGGGCTTGAACACCGCAATGACCTAATCAAGCTATACTGGCTGAGACTTATGTCTCTTGAGGTTCTACCATGCCAGGCAGGTTGTTTGGATAGCGGTTAAACAAAAAGCAGCTACCTCATCCAATACCATGATCCAAACAAATTCACAAAATTTCATGCCGGATCGGCCGTGGCCCGGATTAACAACGACCGCGCTTCCTGCTGCCGTGTCACAGGGCGGGAGTGATAAGTATGCTACTGAGGCACACCAAACAAAAAGAACAAACAAAAACAGGCCGCGTGTGACCGGCCTCAAGCAGTTGTCCCCTGGGCTCTGCGGTCACGCAACCAACTTCCACGGTGTGGGCAGCCGGGAAGTAACAATCGCCCTCACAATCCGAAATGCACACAAAACCTCTCTAATCCTCACTTATCTTTGTCTTCATCTTCATCTCTATTACCTTGCCTTCCTCCACTGATGCAACTCCTCTACTTGATGGCTCCTCACTCCCTCTTCACTCTGTGTCCACTAAAAACGACGAAAGCCAAAAAACCACCACGGATAGTCTCCTAAAGCCACGCCACCAATTTCATATAGGAGCATTTAATGTTAGGACACTTTGCCAAATAGGACAACAAGCATCACTAGCTAAGACCCTGGCATCTCGAGCCATTGATGTATGTTGTGTTTCAGAAACACGCATACAAGACCCAAGTGTGGTTATTCACCTAACCCCACCTGGCCAACAGGATGAATCTTCAAAATTCACCTTGAGGGTGTCAGGAGATGCCACAGCTAGTTCACGAGGATTAGCTGGCGTAGGGATAGCTCTGAGTACTAGGGCAGAAAAGACATTGCTTGACTGGATCCCGGTAGATAGCCGAATGTGTGCTGTCCGTCTGAACGGATCAGTAAGAAGGAGAAAGGACTGCACTACTCGCCGATGCCTTTTCGTAATCTCCGCCTACGCCCCCACTGACTGCAGTTCGGATGAAACGAAGGATGAGTTCTACCAAAAGCTGTCTAGTTTGGTGAGAAAGGCTAAACGCTCAGATATAGTCGTTCTAGCTGGTGACTTTAACGCTCAAGTAGGGAAATTGTGTCAATCTGAGAAGGATGTCGGTGGCACCTATGGAGTTCCGTGCCAGCGAACCGACAACGGTGACCGTCTCCTACAGTTCTGTTCAGATAATCATTTGTTTCTTGTAAGCACTAACTTTAAACACAAGGAGAGACACTGTTTAACCTGGCGACCCCCATCATCAAACCAACGCTGGACACAAATAGACCACATAGCAATAAGCTATCGTTGGCGTGGGTCGGTAGGAGATTGTCGCTCCTTCTGGAACACGTGTGTAGATACCGATCACGCACTGGTCCGGGCTCGTGTGTGCTTACGACTGAACGGACGTAGGAAACAGCTGGCGGTAAAACCATCACGTCCCCAGCTCGATCAGGAAACTAAATCCCTATTTGAGGAAGAACTAGCTAAACGCATATCTGAATTCGACAGCTGTGCTCACCCTGGAGAAGCCTGGAAGAATATTCAGTCAGCTATAGATACAGCTGTAAAAGCTGTGAATAAGGCAAATCCAAAGGTGAGTAAAAACCACTGGATTTCGACTGCCTCATCCGAACTGATAGATGCTAGAAGACTTATTCCGGCGAGCTCCGAATTCAATGAGGAGCGAAAGCTGCACAAAAGGAAACTTACTAAAAGTCTCCGCAAGGACCGTGAACAGTGGTGGGTGACAAAGGCGAAAGAGATGGAAAAAGCATCGGCGATAGGCAACACTAGGCAACTCTTTAGACTCATCACAGAATCGGGTGGGAGAAGGCAATTCATAAGTGAGACTATTTCTGAGAAAAATGGCTCCTTAATTAGCTCTCAGGATAGACGCCTTGAACGCTGGAAAGAACACTTTGAGGAACAATTTAACTTGCCTACAGCCACACTGAACCTCCCCGCCATCCACCACGTACCCGAATGGGATATAGACACTGGTCCGCCGTCTGTAGGTGAGGTTACAAAAGCTATCAGTAATTTGAAACGAGGCAAAGCGGCAGGACCCGACGGAATTATTCCGGAGGTGTTTAAATATGGGGGTGACATACTAGTTTGTAGATTAACTGAGGTACTAGGCAAAGTCTGGGAATCAGAGACAGTACCATCAGACTGGGGTAAGTCACTTATTATACCGATATTCAAGAAGGGAAACAAGTCCTCGTGTGATAATCATAGGGGGATCAGCCTAACGAACATAGTCTCTAAAATCCTAGGCTCAGTAATCATGCATAGACTAAGCAGAACTCGGGAGGAACAGACAAGGGAAAATCAAGCAGGCTTTAGACCAGGTAGAGGGTGCATAGATCATATCTTCACTCTTCGACAGATTCTAGAACATAGACACACTTTTCGGCGTCCAACAATTGTCATATTTCTTGACTTGAAGGCGGCCTTCGACTCCGTGGATCGAAAGGTACTATGGCAATGTCTGACTGTGAAGGGAGTGCCAAGAAAGTACATTGCACTAATCAAGGCACTCTATTCAAACTCACGTAGTCGTGTAAGGGCTTATGGGGAATTGTCATCTGAATTGGTAACAACCAGTGGTGTCCGACAGGGATGTCCACTTTCCCCATTTCTGTTTAACTTCATCATAGATATGCTAATGGAAGTATCCTTAACTGAACGTAGTGACTTAGGAATCGACTTGTTACCAGGGAATAATCTAATGGACTTAGAATATGCAGATGACATAGTCCTGTTAGGGGAGGATGCTGACAAAATGCAGAGTCTTCTGAACACCTTGAGCAGCAATCTTCGTATGTTTGGCATGCGATTCGCCCCTGCAAAATGTAAGATGCTGCTACAGGACTGGACCCCGTCAACCCTAACTTAGTGATAGGGAGTGAAGTGATAGAACATGTTGACCACTTCACCTACTTGGGAAGTTGTATTAGCACCAACGGACTGATTGGCGATGAAATCTCAGCACGGATCCGAAAAGCTCGAGCTGCTTTCGCTGACTTACACCATCTCTGGCGTAGGCGTGACATCCGGTTATCAACCAAGGGACGTGTGTACTGCTCATCAGTTCGCTCCGTCCTTCTCTATGGCTCTGAAACATGGCCAATACGCGTTGAAGACATGAAAAGGTTGACTGCTTTCGATCATAGATGTCTGCGATCTCTGTCTCACGTTAGGTGGTTTCACAAGATAAGTAATGTTGACGTTAGGCGTAGAGTGTTGGGCAAAGAGGGAAAATCAATCGACGAGGCTATAAAGTTACATAGACTAAGATGGCTAGGTCACGTGCTGCGCATGCCTAACCACCGCCTCCCCCGACGGGCATTGCTAGCTGATATAGGTTCAGGTTGGAAAAGAGCCAGTGGTGGCCAAACAAAAACATGGCATCAATCCATGAAATCCTTGACAGTTAAACTGAGTCAGGTAGGGAGATGCAGACTCCCGGGTTGGGGCCCTCGGGACTCTAGGAATCAATGGCTGGAGACAATAGGTGACATGGCTCAAAATCGTTGTCAATGGCGCAGATGTATTCAGTCTCTGTAATCTTTCATATTCCTTTCTACCATTACCCATTCTGTTTCACTCTTATATTTGTCAAACTCTATTGATTCTCTTCACTCATCTTCTTGTCTACCTCTGTGTGCTATTTGGAACGTGGCAACTCGAACTGCTGCACTTCGGTGCCAAGTTCTATGTTGAATCCAGACAGACAGACAGACATAGGAGATAAGAGATTATGAGCAGTCGTGGGCTCAGCTAAAGAGAACAGCAGAATATTGAACAAGGTGGATGTGTTGTTTAAGCCCTATGTTACATTCGGAACCTAAGGGAATAATAATAGTTAATAATAATAATAATCTTATTAGTAGATACAAGTAGCCACAACCTTAGTATGAGGACTTTGATAATATTTAGTAGTCAGTTTGATATCTACAGTATACTATCTGAAAAACGAATAATACGACTGGAATCACAGATTGTCACTTGATAAATGGATCACATAATATTATGATTCTTCTTTTAGCTTACCTCTTCAACATCAGGGTCTAGTTGTAAGTGTGGCTCCATCTCAGTTAACAACTCTGACAATGAATCTGCTGTGAAAGCTGAAGTCACCTGTTCACCGACAGTACAACTGGTGTCAATATTTGTTTGATTATTTTCTGTCGTACTAGGTACTTCTTCGGGTAGGGAATTGGTAGTAACTGGTGCTAAAGTGGATACACTGTTTTCTACAGTTGTCAATGAACTATCCTCTTGAACTGATTGTGATATTATTTCTTGAACAGGTAAATTCTGAGTACTTGAAACGATAGCTGCCTGGGAAATCGATGTATCTGACTGTGACATCTCAATGTCAGACGAAAAACTGACTGACAAACTTCTTGGAATATTTTCAGTAGTATTGAATGAATTACTAGTGGAAACAGGTTGCATAGAAGAAGATACTAATGTCTGAGGTTTAACAGGAGACATATTAATCAATTTATTTGGCGACTGAGTAGTCCCAAGGTTAAAACCTGAAGAGTCTAAAATCATTTGGTTCATAGGGCTACTCCCTGAAACCCAGCATTTGAAGTGAAACATGCTGTTCCTGGATGCAGCTGATTGTCAACAATCTGGGCGATATGTACAGGTTGATCAGTAGCCATGTTTCCTAATGCAGTGGAAACAAAAGCATTTGATGGATTATTAAACGAGTTTAGCGGATTGCTACTTATTATTCCTCCTGGTAAAGCCATAGACATTGGGCCATTCGGACCATGTATAACAGTAGGATTAGTGAGCTGTGTAGTTAACGGCCCATTGGGCGTAGGACTTGGTAATACAATAGGGTTTCCAGGTGCGATAACCGGTGGAACTTGGATTTGCTGTTGAGCAAGAGTGGAGGTGGGCAGTGAAATCGGTGCTGTGGTTGCAGTTGTAACTAAATTAGCCATCAGTACTGTTTGTCCAGAGGGAAGAGTAACTAAGTTAGATGAATTCCTTGGTTGTCCTATGCCTGAGACTGCCATAGGTCCAGGCGGTGATGGTGCCCATACTTGGAGATTCTGTGGAACACTTGTCACACTGTTTGTTTGTAAAGTTGCCATATTTGCACCCTGAGGGTTTGTCTGACCTGACTGTATTAGAACTGATCCTGGAGGTAATGCTGAACCAGAATGAGCCATCATTTCTAAAATCAAAAAAGCAAAGAAATTTTAGAAGGCAATGATATTCAGTGAAAACACTTAAAGCATGCTTAATATTACGTAGGAAATGTAGGCAATGAAACAGTATTACTACTATTACTATCTTGATTTACAAATCAGAAATCATTTGAAATCGTTACTGAAATATAAATTTCTCCATACACTTTATTTGCTGTCTAGTGTTACTTTTAATCTTCAATACATGCAATCAATCACTTCGAAACACTAAGGAATAAAAATTACACAACATATTTCGGCTAAAACTCCAGTCATGATTAACAATGAACTTAAAAGACGATGTGATAAGTGAATTACAACTAAACTTTCTTATTATTTTGAGTGTCATCTTAATAAATAAACAAAGCACCTCAATATAAGCCTTGTTTTAGAAAGGTGGTTCAAGTACTCTGAGAATCTCAATTCCGTACAATTAATTTCCCCTTGAAACCACGTTCCAAAGTTTCGGCAATTACATAACACCATCAGTCCTTACATAGTAAATGTGAATTAGCTGTTACATGCATGGAAGTTTACGGCAATGCACGAAAAAAGTAGATCGGAATCATTGAAGGTTAACGTTATTTCTCTTAACTAGTTCAAATGAAAGTCTTCATAGGTTAAATAAACATCAATGAAACCTATTGAGTGTGTCAAGCTACATGTCATATGTCATCCGGAGTATCCTTTAGGTGGACGCTCCATCCGCAAGCACTATAGCCAGTCTTAAGTTGCTACTTCGCATTTGAAAAAGAAAAGCTTACGTTTCTACTGAAGGTATTCATAAAATGAGTCTAAACAACGCCTTATTGAGAATGGTAAACTTATCATTCGGACTTCTGAGGGGGGAGGCAGTATTCAAATGGATAACATTAACTAATGAGTCTACACGTTACTGTACTGAGACGTTAATCAGTTAGAAAAAAAGCTGAAATGGAATGTGAATGTAATGGATAAATATTCGTGGGAGAATAATCTAATGAAGAGTTGTGAGATTTACAATGTTGATAAAGAATAAAAACACATGCGTTTTGTTAGATTTTTCGACAATAAAAGTCAATATGCTACAGTGACACATTTCTATCCTTAGGTAACTTAATCCTCTATGAAATGAACTGTTTGAATAAAACTCAAACAACATTCCATAGACAAAGCATGAGATTTGTAATTGACAAATTCTAAAGAAAGTGATAGGACCTAGCTATCTGTCGATATTCCAGAGATAGAAAAGTTATACAACACATCGAAATGAATATAACTCAGCAAACTGCCAGTTTCGAATACACTTGAACACGCTTAAAGCTCGGATCGCGTTAAACCAACCTAAAAACCTTTTTCCTCATATGAATCTTGAGAAAATAAAACACACTACCACATTCCTACATCAACTGGTAGCATAAAAGCATCTTAAATAATTCAAGATAATAGGAAAGAAGTTGTTGCTATGACAAGCTGCCTTGATATGCTCGTTAATGTAGAATTACTGCCAGACGTATTATTACGAATAGGAACAATGACACTACACTGTATACACTACTGATGTTGGTCAAAATGTATTTGTACCGGAATGAAAGAGAAACAAAGGTGTCAGACGATATACATCCAAGGATCTAAGAGTATGTGCAACCAATGTCTTGACTTTTACTTTTATACCACCCCTTGAACAAAAGATATTATGACAGCTGGAACGGTGCAGTGGTTACTCTTATCCATAAATCTAGTTGACATTATCTATCATATTATACGCCTGATATGCAACTTTTTACAAACAACAGTTGTGATAACGCCAGTAGCACCAGAAATATCTATGAAGTTAGGGATGCATAAGCCTAAAACACATTCCAACCTGCTCAGTGAAAATGAAATTCGGATCATTTAGTAATTGGAGAATGAGAAGGAAGAATTAATATTGTCAGATCGTACGACAAAACAAAAAATAGAAGATTAAGTGCTACTGTTTGTCAAAAAAGTCTCCAGTGTCGTAATTAATTCTCTAGAGAATTCTGGAAAGCCGTCATGCTATCCATATCAAACCTTAGTTTTAATGAAATTTATACCTCATAACAAACACAGCCGTCAGTACAATTTTTCGTAGGACCTGTCCATATGACCTACACAAATTTGCCGAAACTATGTTGGAAATTAACAGAGGGGTTCCCTGTCTGTAGGAGACAGGAACTGCCAACTCCTAAGTGTGAATACACAGTCGAATATCAAAAGACATGGTATTGACTGGAAACTCAAAAATTTAGGAGTTAAGTGAGGAAAACTTAGTACTCACTCCTAAAATAAAACTTAATAACACATCAATGTTATCAAAGGAATGTTTGATTCCTCTCAATGCAGCCAGATGCAAAACTACGCATGTAGCCAACGTTTGTACACAAAATATAAGGTGCAGAACTTTACTGTTTCAGATGCACAAAGACCTCCACAGATAGCAGCTAATTTATGTTCATTTATATGTGGTTACGTCAAAAATTGACAATTAGAACTTTTGCCTATTATGCCAGAATAACATGTCAGGAAAGCTACGCAAAACAACGATTACGGGAGTATACCATAAACTACGAGGTGCTCTTAAATACTGAATCTTACCACTCATTTTACTGACGGAAAAATTTCATCACAATGTATTTCATTAAAGAAATAACAGCTGTCTCTACAGCCCTATTCACAACACAATAACAGTTATAGTGAGTCGTTCCTCTCAATGTTTTAAGTTTGAAGATAATTAACAGGAGCGATTTTATTTGTCTGCTAAGTGAAATAAGAAAGAACTGAAAAAATCACAAGCCAGATTTAAAAAATAGTACTACTGCCAAATATACCATTTTCAAACAAGAAAAATTCAGTCTGAAGCCTAACAGTGTACCTTTATAACAGAAAGACTGCCACGCATGCAGGCACAAAAAGCGAAATTCGAACCCCACAAGGAATGTAATATCAAATGAAACTTAAGACCGGCCATACAATCTACGAGTGTTCTCGTTTTCGTTAATATCAGGTATTTGAAGCCTCTAATTCTCCTGCACCAGTTAGCTAAATCCAATGCCATTTTCTGCGTGCGAACAAAACAGAACATCGACTTGCATTGTATCTACATATATGTGTATATATACGTAGACAAGACATCTTTATTCCGTTATCATCTGTAACGATGCTATTTGTACCTCGAGGTCGTTTTTTTCATTTGAATGAACAATATTTGTTAAACTATATGCATCCATTAATTTCTAGTGTGTAGGACTAATTACAGTTTCCGATTCGAGATACAGTTAAATTAGTAGTTTTTTCAAACAAAGAGAACGCGTGGATATTGAGATGGTCACCACAGTATCCGACATCGTATTCACGTGATAGTATAAACCTCGTGGATTTCTAAATGCTAGCTTCTTGGCCTTCAGTTAAGGGTTCCTGATCCTTGGCACACTTCTGCGTATTGTTTTTCGCCACTCAACTGCCATAGCCTTGGTTGAATCCATGGGGAATGGTGCAGGGATCTGCTGAGTTTTTAAGTATGAAGTGTGTTAAGACTGTTACCCGTTAGCCGCCCGGAGTGGTCTCAAACAGTAATAATAATAATAGTGACAATACATATAATTAGCTCAGATTATGTAGACTTATAAAACATACAAACCGGGAAATAATGAAGTTTGATAACCAAAAACAAAGAAAATAATAGAGGGACGCAATCGAAGTTGCCAGTTTTGTGTGCTATGTAACCATCTTTTACACTGCGGAATTCATGACAGTTATTTACCAGTAGATAATAATTCCACTAACATAGTATTGACCTGCTGCCTATTGCGGTATTGAACTTCACCATGCTAGTGAAGCCTTCCACTCTGTGTATCTTGGCACTTAAACTATCTATTTATACTGTAAAACTGTCCCATGGTATTTGTCGGAAATCTTTATTTTTTGATTACAGCTTGATTCCACACCGTATTTTTGGTACAAGTATGGAGTTTTCAGCGTGGATATTGGTAGTCCAAATTTCGCAGGCCGACCATAGATATCAGGTATGCGTCGGCGAGGGCTCGAACCCCGGACCATGTGCATGGTCGGAGAGAGTCCTAACCACAGTGCCACCGACGCTAATGGTATACACCAAGCATCTCTTTAACGGAATACAGAGGAGTCGTAATGATTTCATTTCGTCGTTTGTGAAATGCATGCCGACCACCACTTATTCTTGTCGAAAAATGGTAGGAATCTAATGCTGAAGTTATCTATAACAAAAGAAAATGGAGGTTTCAAGTCCCTCCTGGAGATACACAGGAGCCTGTTGACTGATGATGAGCTGATGTTGATGTTTAGAGATGATAACCATTCATGTCAAGTTCGATGAAGATGCTTAGAACTGTGATCTTATCTGCACATGATTTGCTTTTTCTGAATGCAGCCCGTTCCACACGGATTTTTCCATGCGAAGCAACTTTTATTCTCTGCAGGAAGACACGGATTAATATTTTGCATGAAATGGTCAAGAGCATGATTCCACACTAATTTCTGAGAAAGCCTCAGTCTCTCTTTAGTGGTTTGACAAGAAAGTCCTTCCTTCAGACGGTAAACATTTTTTCTTCTATTCAAATTTCCTGAGGCATTTGCAAGAGTATGTCCACTGAGAACTCCGGATAATTTTTCAGCGCTTCTGGAGGGAATTCCACCTGCTACTACCTCTTTCCTAGCTTTCAGTGGCTGTATGGAAATCGCTCATGCTTTTGTTGGGGGACTAGTATTCACCAGTACTTCTAGGGTTTTTAGTGGTATTCTTGGGCAAGCTACGGGTGAAGCTCGGTTCAGGAGTCTTTTCTGAAGGTCATATTGCAGTCTACTTCGTCCGCTCTATTCCGTAATTAGCCTTCCCCCATTATCCTTTAGCAGTCATCTGTGACGATCTCTTTCCGAACTGCGATCTGTTTATCTGACAGGGTTTTCTGAAATTCCCCAGAGAGTCAGTTAGTTGAAATACCTAAATTGCTTGGAGACCGTTTCCGATTGTCTTCAATTTGAAATAACGCCCATAACTCCTGTGCTGTCCCGTAGGATCTGAACTTTGGCCACACTGTTTGTTGACTCTGTAGCCTGACCCGCCTAACCTAGAGGCTAGACTGCTTAATACACCCCTCCCCCAGCTAGTAAGGGGAGAATCTAGATGTATTTATTACCAACGTTATGAAGAGAGTAGGGAGATACATATGCCTCTTTTCCCAGAAAACTCAGTTGTCCACATTGTGTTTCAGTACACAGATAGGAAAACTGATCGTTGGAGACTATGTACCTGAGGCTCAGTTGATTTGACGAATTTATTTAATCCCTACAGTTTCTCTTATCTGCAGTATATTCTTGGACAAATGAAAGGGATTTGCAAATGCGTCTTTTGTTCACGATGGCACTTTTCTTCATTCCTGTGACGAGAGTGCTGTAGACTATACGCTGCTTCACAGTCCTCCCACCTAGCGGTTGTCTGTAGATGGCCACTCTTTCTCTTGCCTTTTTTTCCTATCGAAAATGTCCTCACAGAGTTTTCCGCTTCGCCTTCAGCACCTTCCACAGCCCCCGTCCGTAATTTCGACTAATATCCCCGACTTTTTCCTGGTGACTATAGCGAAAGTGTCATTTTTGTCTTAATCTCTCACTTTTTGGCATAAATTGCAGTCTGTCAACGGTTTCTTTGAAGTCCTTCGACTTAATCTCGAACGTTCTTGGTATAAGGGTGTGATCTGAAGCTATGCCTGCTTCGCATTACGGTCCTGTCTCCAGTCGGTTGCCTTTTCTCCTTCTTCGGATCGAGGTGAAGTCAACCCAGTTTTTCATGTGGCCATCCAGTGAAACACACTGACTTGTGTAAATCAATGCGATTGTCCTCGCTGTCTTCAATCACCAAATGACTGAAGACAGAGAAGTCCGCAAACAGTTCTCCGTTATCATTCATTTAACTAAGTACCTCTTTTTTGTTGTCTGATAAGGGTTTTGGATTCATAACACCAAATGGAATTTCGGTGTTTCCATATGACTCCGCCCTATAAAAAACTGCCCATAGTTGTCTCTAGGAGTCATCCTCTTTTTTGTCTGAACTATTTGTGGTGAGTAACACTGTATAGTCTTATGTACCATTCATTTGGTGACTAATTTTGCTGTACTGATATTGGGAGAGACCGGTTTACACTACCTGAAAATTGTAACATTAGAATATCCACATCGTTCGCTTGCTTGTTGTGCCACCTAGGTGACAAGATTAGATGATTCACTCTGGAAAGTATTGCAAGTTATTCCTAAACATTCAGTAAACGCTTTATGTCTCAGTGTCTATTTTCGTGTGCATTGCAAGAGGACAAATAGGGCGCCTGGCCTCCTGGCCACTACCCGTCGGAATCGTTCGTCCAAGAGTTAAGAGTCTTTCCAATTTCCCCAGTTGACAAGTATTTTTTGCGTTGATTGCCTTAGTAGTGATATATCCGATTTCTAAGGGGTGGTGAACGCACTTTTTAAAGTGTTATGTATTGCGAACCCTTCATACTTGTAAGTATTGTAACCTTTGTGTTCCTTTATAGCGTCAGACATCCTACATGGCTGCCTGCCTCCTAATGACGTGAACATTTGATATCCACACACAAAGTTAACAAGCAATCAGTATTCTTCAGAATAGGATTTTGATATAACCTACAAAACCTCAAATTATTTGATAACGACAGAATTTCATCAAATACGTATCTAGTTGGTAGAATTTTGCTCATTCAGGCCAACAACACTTCCGCGTTCATTCTCGCTTTTTAGTAAGGCCTGCAACAGTTTTTGATTTGTATTCGCATTCTCGTTCGACAAAATGGCTTGCTTCTGTTCAATAGATTGAACTATAAATAAATGTGGTCTTGTTAGACAATTTGATGGCCTGGAAGTAACGGGCTAATCCTGCTAATGGACGGAAAACCGGAACCTCCTCTCAAACATTCAGGTGGCGGTTACGAAGTGACATCATGTACATTTATATATTTTTTAGAAGATGCAGTTCATGTAAGGAATCACCAGTTTAGCAGAGGATGGAACATCAACGCTTACGCAGAGCATGTTGTATGTAAAGGCAGGTTCTTATTCTCCAACTCTTATAGAACTTGTCTTGTTTAGATCAAAGGGAAATCAAAACAACAGATTGATCATCTAAAAGACGAGATATACTTCGAAATCAGAATCATAGTGACATGTGACTGCTTAGCTAGCCAGGGATCTTGAATGAACAGGCGAACGTAACACATAAGCTTGCCGAATGCCATGAATGCTTGACTTCGAACTCTCGGCTCAACGAGTCGCCTTGAACAGTGAAAGCCAGCATCAGATGCCGAGTAGAGACTGCTGTACGATAATAAATCCTGGGATTCACTAAACACTACATTATATAATTACACGTGTACATGTGTAGGCGACAGATTTACTGAAGTCAGTGGGGTCATTATGTCTTCCTTGGTTTACGCTTGCTTAAGAGCAAACTGCCAGCGACAAGTACTCATCCCATTGATGAGAGGCGATCTAAAAGATCTTGACACCACGAGACCAGAAATATCTAGCATTTATGCAAGTATTATAAAAGTGGAAAGGATTGGCCACTGAATGGGTACAAAAACGGGACCTGGCCAGATCGACTGCTAAAGGACATCCAGCTGGTTTGAAGAAATCCCATCGTAAATGGCTACAAATGTCTCCATCTGAACTGTATGTATGGATGTCGTTGACGCGAAGTGTGATCTGCTTGAGACAGAGTAAATAAAATTGAACATTTCGTGTGACGTTGCACAGTCTAAATATCACCATAAGAAATGAATGGGACGAAAAGTTGTGACAGTCACTCTTATTTGGACCCCATCAGGAGTGGTTTGTGCATGATGATAAGTTAATTTTCAGTCAGGTTTGCTGAAGATAGACTCACCTCTCAATGACGGAATCAAACAATGTACACAGAGGACTAGGTGACGACCTAGGATGGTTCTAGCTCTAGGACTTCAGTAGTTACGCCTTGAGTGCCAGTCCATACCATTACTTGCCGAGGCTACATGTAATGAGGAGGGCAACTTGCAGCTGGGTGGTACGGTAATTCTTACCTCCCAGCATGTGTTCAAACGAAGGTGATGTGAACTTGTCCAATACCATTCTTATTCGTCGCTCGAATCCGGGAGGCAAAATGACACAGCGGGATGTCTAGCGAAAACCTTCGGGAAGCCAGTCAGCCAGCCGATGTATTTTCTCTCGATAAAAGCAAGAATGAGAATAGGGACGGGGAATAACCGTACAATGTA